TTTTAGACCATTATGATGAGTTGCTTTTGTACTTTAAGAGATAAAAACCCCAAGGAGAGAATTCTAGGCAGTTCTGCTTTATACCAAATTCTGTTTAATTGCAGCATATATGCTTGAGGGTGTTATCTGATAATGAACAAAGGCTCTTACAGCTTAAAATGTAATAAAGTCAAACAAATGAAAATGAACTTTTCTGTCCTAAAACAGGACTATGCTATGTAGGCATCTCCGTTTATAACAAGGCTTCACTTGAGTTGGAATTTTTTTGGATATAGTCATTTTTCTTGTCAAGTGTTCTCATATTTGTATTATTTCCTAGTTTTAAGAGGAATTAACTTATCACAAAATGACTGTTCTACTAATTAGATCTGAAATTAGCCATCTAACTTAGCATCTGACCCTAAGCATATGATTTTGTATCACACTGGACAGCACTACAAACACAGAAGTCTTTCTCAATTTTATGGCTCATAACTAATTTAAACCTAACCCATGAACCTCTTTGCAATTTCCTAGTCTTTTACTTTCAGATGACTGACTTACATTATTCAAACCAGTTTGACAACTACTGCCTATGTAGTTCTAGTCTTCCACGTAAACAAAAGGCTATACAGAATGACTTCATTTGTCATCATAAATTAGATAATATTAAGTGAAATCTGAACTGAGCCTTAGTCTCCTCATCTATAAACAGGAGGATAACTACATTTATCTCTTGCTGTCTCTTGGGGTTGTTGCAAAGATTCACCAAGATTTTCAGAAACTGTAAAGCATAATACAAACGTAAGGTATTATCATAAATATTTTGAACTTAAAAATACATTACGTACTCAAAGTACCAAGAAATTGACTTTATCACATAGGTTACAAATTGGAGATTTTAAACATTGATGTTTTAGGTCAAATGTGATGTACGTAGGTTTTAGAAAGTAAAATCTACATTGGAAATAAAAGGCTTCCAACAACAACAAAGATCTTTGAAGTTATGTGATCCACAGTACTGACTTACCTTCACATCACACTTTCGGATTTTAACCCAAATGTTTTAACTCCTGACTACATTTTTAAACTTACATTTTTACTGATCCCTTAACTTTTCAAGTTATTTAGAATCATTTTTTTTTTTAAATCATATAGTAAACACTCTCTTACACAGAAAGCGCAAAACTCTAATTTCAACCACAGCTCCAAACACTCCACCTCCGCCCTAAAACACACTGAACTGCAACAAATAGCAAAACTGGGTTTCTCTTCTGGCTAATCTTTAGGTGAAACAATGAAGTAACTTAAAGCTGGAAGGAACAGGGTAGAGAAAAGGAAAAGGTGGGTTCTCAGAGTTTATAAAGTACATCAGGGTTGGCTTGTTTTTTAAATGCAGATTTGGAACACAGCCACACCCATTTTATCAAGGGTAGCTTCTGCTGCAACGCCAGAGACAATAAAGTCACTGGCCCTTTAAAGAAAATATTTGCCAAACACTGGTTAGACAATCAATACTGAAAAGAAAACAAAGTCTCAACCAGCAAAAATGTTTTCCTTTGTATTAAGATTAATATTTACTTTTGTTAGATCATGATGACTCTTATTCTGGTTCTGCTGGGTTAAGGTCAACCTGACCACTTCCAACCATCTCCACCACCACTACTCTCCCGGTCTAAGTCATGGTCTTTTACCCCCTGGATCACTGCAATTCTCTCTCATTTGGTCTTGTCTCACTCTATCACTACGGTCCATCCTCAAATTTAGCAGTCAGGTCAGTCCTTTAAAAATTGTCATGTCGTTGTCTCTCCTTTGTTCCAAACCTCCCAATACCAAAGTCCTAATGGCCTATAAAATCTTAGTTATCTGGGCCATATTGTTTCTTATATCATCTTTATTGGTCCCCTCTTCCCTCATTCCGTCTCCAGCCAAACTAACCTCCTTCCCGTTCCTTAACCAGATGTAGTCTGCATTAAGTCTTTTATGATGGCTATCCTCACTGCCTGGAATACTCCTCAGATATCTGCGTGACTAATGCAGTTCCTTCAAGAGTCTGTTCAAATCTCATCTTAAAATGAGGCTTTTCCAGGCAACTTCACCCTATAATTCCTACTTCTTTACCTTCTAGTATATATACTTTTTATGCCGCATTTGTTATTTGTCATCCCTTGCTCCCTATCAAGTAAGCCTGGAACACTTCAGTTTGAGAGAAAGGAAGGATAAATGATATTTACAAATAATGAAGTAGAAAAAACATTTTGCCTTTAAAAAGCATCAGTGGCAATTGAGCAGGAGGGAAGTAGGCAGGAGTAGGGTGTAAATGTCCAAGTTAAACAACAAAACAACTTCAAATCTTTAAATTATGTGGCTTATTGGCTTTAAAATAAAAACTGCAAAAAAAAACCCCACAAAACACAAAACCTCAAACCAAAACCCTACTTTTCTCTCTTTTTAAAAAAAGTATTCGCAAAAGAGAATTATCTTAAACTGCCAATTGAGTTTTAAAAGAACACACACACACACAAAAACCTATGTGCTACTCCTGCACTTACTGCTTTAACATATTATCTAAAGCTGCCAAATCAATTAAAGGGGGGAGGGGGAACTCCTAAAGCTGTTTTACATATCAAAGGAATTTAACAGGACCAATCAGTATAGTTTCATAAATGGAATATTCCTGGACATAGTTCTATAAATATTTACGCCAAACACCTTACATCTATAACTTGCTTCCAAAAGATAATGAGGTTACAGTTGTCAATTCAAAGCACGGCTACATATGATGAAATAAAGCCAAAGCTGATGTCACATTACGAATGCAGTAAGTCAAGTGCAGCAAAGCAGTGTCTTGTGTCATTCCCAAATCATTGCCACAGCAACCTTCAGCAATGATTTCTGTCTCCTCTGAGAAAGAATAAATGAATACAGAGTCAACAGAGCAAAACCAGTGACAACATCCCTCTGATTCAAAAGTGATAACTTAAAAATACATTATCTGGTTGCCTTAAAATCATGATCAATTTAAGACCTTGAAGAATCAACCACAATATAGCTGCACTCTGTAAAGAGCAAAAAGTAAATAACCTTTCATTTTCAAATGATATTGATTGAACACATCTTGTTAAGGAACTTCCCTCTGACTACAAGATGGTAGAGCATTCTAATGTGCGATTATGAACTGATCTAATTAACAATAATTTCTTGCAACTGTCAGGACATGGCTAGAGAGTGATCTTTGGCTTGATCTATCCTACTATTAAGCACTTTCTAAATTAAGCTATCATTTTCTGAGTGTTTATGTCAGATATTGTGTTAAGTACTTGCCTTTAATCCTCACAACAAACCTGTAAGATTGGCATTAGTATTATCTGCTCTCCACAGCGAAGAAAACTGAGGCTTAAGTTAAAAAACTTGAACCTAGAACCAAAGAATGCCTATCCCAGACTGCTCCTGCCCCTAACCATTATTAGAACTGCCAATCTGAATTCTCCTTGTATCTGCAACACAGTACTAAAATAAATGAGGCCAAATATCACCCTATTCTGTGCTGTATTACTGCTTAATTAACAAAAAGTAAAACCTTTCTCAATCTTACAATCTTGCATGCTTTAGGGCTATTCATTACTAGAATAAATAAGACAAATAGGAAAATAAGTTTTAAAACAGAACTTGCAAATGTGAATGCCCATGATTTCTGAAAAAAATCAGTTAAGTGACAAAATTAGGTTTGTAAAAAGAGCCAAACAAATTACCTGTCTGGTTAAAAACAGAAAGGAAAACAAGACAGAGCTGTGACTTGTAATTCACTCCCAGTTCTATCAATTCGTGCAACTTTGGCCTGGTCATTTAGCCTTCGGGATTCATTTTTCTCATCTTCAAACAAAGAGTAATGGACTAAATAACCTAACTAGCTGTTATACATTATGATTCTGTTTTTACCAGGTCTTAGAAGTATCTGAGAGGGAAGAAGAGATTATTTAAACCCTAAATGTGTGTTACTAAGTAAACATTATGAAGTAAAGACATAGATATACTATGCTAAATTTACCCCAAATTCTTTGAGAAAGAGTATTTTCTAAATAAATGTTTTCATAACAAAATATTTTAATACTACTACTAAATAGCTACTATTTATTGGCTTGTGATGTTTTACATACATACATTACCCATGCTTCAAAGACTATGCTGTTAACTTCACTTAACCTCACCAGTCTTTCTTATCACCTTAACCAATGTGTCCGTTTAGTGTTAATATTAAAACGCACGAGTTAGGGATGATTACTAGCATAAAGTGCACAACGCAGAGCCTGGGACAGCTCTGGAATTAAATATGTGTGTGTGTGTGTGTGTTTTCTATTTCACAATTATTCGTAGTATTAACAAAACTTCTTATATAATTCAAAATCCTGTCTAAATAATCATATTGGCGCAGGAAGTTCTCTGAGCCACGAAACAGATACTAAATCACCTCAAAATCAGGGATATCGGGGTGTAGAAAACACTTTGCAGCCGCGTTTTATTTTTGCACCGAGTACCACGCCTAACCGCCTAATTAAAATACAAACTGCACCATCGTTTCGTGGAATTAGCCACAGTGAGTTTCATGTGGATTTCCCTTCTCTCCAAAATTAGACCAAACACCAAGATGAAGCCTCGTTAGGGGGTAAAGACCCAGGAGGCCACAGCAAGTCTTGAGAAATGGATACCAAGGCACAGGGCACACCTTCAGTGTTACGCCCTGCAGCCCGACGGCCGCCCCCTTCTCCTTTCCAGCCCAAAAGGCAGCCCAGGGAACGGCAGGGGCATTTCGGGTCTTTAGCCGCCAGCTGGAACCATTCTCCTACTCAACCTCTACCCCCTGGAAGGGCAGGGCGTTTCTAGAGAGTCCAGTGTCAGTGCAAAGCAGGGGAATTGGGACAGAGTGCAGGGCACGGGAGGGGACTGGCGCGAGAGGCGTCACGGCTCGACTCTCTCGGGGCAAAAAGAAGCGGGGGCTGGAAGCCAGAGTCCAGCCGGGGTACCTTGTGTCCAGCGGCAGAAGATGGTGTCAGAGAGACCGGGGCTGCTGTTGGTGCCCCACACCAGCTCCATCAGCTCTTTAGTCAGTTCGGACATGATGGGATGCCGGAGAGCTGGTCTTGGCTTTCAGGACTCCTGCCCCGGCACATGGGGAAGGGGCGGCTTCCGAGATCAGAGTGGCGGGACGGCGGCGGTAAACGAGCTTGAAGGTCAGACGGGAGAGAGGCAAAAGGAGAGAGACCTACTTGCAGGGACCCCGCCTGTCAAGCCCGGTCGGAGCGGCAGCAAGGAGTTTCCCGTACCGGAAGTACCGGAGCCACTTCCGGCTTCTCTTTCATACCGCCCCCACGGCCGGAGGGGCAGGCGGCACCTCCCCGGAAGCGGAAGTGGGGGTGGGGCGAGAAGAGCTGCAGGGGACAATTCAGGCCACTGGCCTTTCTGAACTCAGTGCAAGGGGGCTGTGGTGCGGTGGCTGCTTTTGTGTTGGCAGGAGCATCGCATCCGTGGGCGTTGGCATATTTCTACCATTGTAGAATACCTCCTTCTCCGCACTGCTTTGGGCTTAGTCCCCAGGCCCAAGCTCTGGGACTCAGAACATAACCTATACTTTAAGATTTGTAATATTAATTATGCCAAACTACAGCTTTAAGAGTATGGTTGATTCTCCTTGAGGACTCATGTCTGTGTGGAGAGCCGCCCATAAATTGAAGGCTGTCAATCTCTTGCTAAGTCACATTAAGTTAAACCAACTATCAACATAAGTGAAGAATGTGGCCGAATGAGTGTTAGAAATGCCTGACCCGAGCATAACGGAGAATTACAAACCTCTTCACAGGAAAACAGATTCAAAGTGGCCCGTTTGTAAATGGTAGAGCAATTTTACCTACAATTTTGAAGACTGTAGGGTGTATGGGCAACATATGAGCTTAAAGACCAGGTTTCAATCATTGACAAGCATTCAGTTAAATTTAGTGGCTTCCCTGAGTTGGTGATGGCTTGAGAATCTTGGCGTGCTGCGGTCCATAGGGGTCGCAAAGAATTGGACACGACTGAGCGACTGAACTGAACTGAAAATTTTCTATTTGTGACACTTAAAAAGAAGAAAATTTATTCTGACTGAATTTGGAATTTCAAACAAAAAGGCAAAAATCTGATAGGCTCCTTCCAGGCAGCAAATAATAGGAGTTTGCTAATTTATACTCTATTTTTGACTTAAGTAACCTTTGCTGTTTTTAAAAGGAATTGCTCAAAATACCTAAACCATATCCATAGACTTCTTCCCAATCTTTAACCCTTGTGAAATATCCTTTATCCTGTTTTTCAAACCAAATCTTACTCATTCTTCAAGATGTATGTTGACTTAAAAAATAAAGCCTAAAAATTAAAAGTTTTTTTTTTTAATTCAGTGAGAATTTTTAGGAGTTTAAGCCTGGGAAACAGCATCTCTAGTAACCCTGAGAGAACTGCTCTGAGGAGGCGAGGGGAGGAGCCAGGTTAATAGAAGTTTTGCAACCAAGGATAGGTAGTCTGAACATCAAAAGATTATTGTTAATTAAAGGAAGCCAAATATCCCACAATCCAATATTCTTGGGCTTCACTGGCGACTCAGATGGTAAAGGATACACCTGCAATGCAGGAGATCTGGGTTTGATCCCTGGGTGCGGAAGATTCCCGTGGAGGAGGGCATGGCAACCCTCTTCAGTATTCTTGCCTGGAGAATCCCCCTGGACAGAGGAGCTGGCAGGCTGCAGTCCATGGGGTTGCAAAGAGCTGGACACAACTGAGCGACTAAGCACATCACAGATATCCCAAGCTAAAGAATTAGGTGCTTTTCTATGTCTGGGAAGATGCAAGAGTCTGGGATCACTGAAATCATTTCTTTCAGATGTATCTCAGCTATCCTGGGCCAGTAGCCTGTGTTTTTCACACCCTGAGCTCCACTGGGGCTCACCTTAGGGAGTAGCTACAGTCCTGGTGGCTGCTAGTCCACTGTTACCCTTCTTCCTGAGTGCCCTTAGGGCTCAGGAATTCACATTGGAGTGCTGTAATCACTGATGACTGTGATATCCCTGTTTACTGATGTGGCAGGAAATACTCCATTTCTTGGTGCTTCCCTGGTAGTTCAGATGGTAAAGAATCTGCCTGCAATGCAGGATCCAGGATTGGGCTGACCCCTCGGCAAAGGGAATGGCTACCCACTCCAGTACTCTTGCCTGGAGAATTCCATGGACACAGGAGCCTGGTGGGCTACAGTCCATGGGGTCACAAAGAGTGGGACACAATTGAACAACTAACACTTCCACTTTTCACTCTACTTCTCACATAGTATAAATGGTACTTTGTAATAAAGCCTTCTCCAATTGCTACAATATAAAAGAAAATTTTTAGCTTCTGAAATTTCACGAAACTGAAAGTGAAGTTGCTCAAGTCGTGTCTGACTCTTTGCGACCCTATGGACTATAGCCTACCAGGCTCCTCTGTCCATGGGATTTTTCCAGGCAAGAATACTGGAGTGGGTTGCCATTTTGTGACTTGCTTATGACAATTACTGTCATTTGTAATTTGCAAATAATTATTTATTCTTCTCCTGTGGTAGATGTTTAAGGAAGATGAGGACCTGTCTTATTCATAGTACCTAATAGAGAGCCTTGAATATAGCTGGATCTCCGTATTAGAATGAAACTTGCCTTTATGGAACTTAAGACTTCACTTATGGAACTTAAGAATTCAAGAAGCGAGGAAATGAGGGGAAGTACCAGTGACTGGTTCAAGTAAATGTCTATTATTTGCACAGGTGATTTATAATTTGCAAAATTATTTCATTTCCTAAAAGACATAGAAGAGCCAATGTTCATAGATCCTGTAAGTGGCAGAACTCTAACGTCAACTACAAATTGGCACTTGCCATGGGTGCTTGCCCTCTACCTTTAATCTACAAGGATTAAGTCATGTGCCACTGCAGCTGCTAATTTTTTAACACCCTTGACAGGACTTCAGGGTGAAGAACAGAAATGTAGCATTCTGTGCTCTGGAAAAAATGGGCAGAACAGGTCTTCAGATAGTTAGATATTTTGAGGAGCTGATTTTATGAGCCCAATTCTTGTACCTTGTCATATCTAGAAAAGCGCTAAAATCCTTCATGGTGATGACAGCTTGTTGTGACTAGCAGAAACCTTCCAAAAATATGTGCTTGATTGCATGTACACCCCCTTCACCAGAATCACTTATATACTGACCTTCATCACTACCTCTTTAGAGCAGTTTCTCAGGGCTATCTGAAATGCTGTCTCTCAGGCTATAGTCCTCATTTTGCCCCAAATAAAACTTAACTCACAGTTGTCACACTGCATTTTTCTAAAGTCAGCCATAAGTTCAGAGGTGTTTGCCATATTTTTCTCTTTTCATTATTATAGAGGCATAGTTATAGATATACTTGTCCATGAATAGAAATAAATACTTTCAAAAAAATTTTTAATGCAATATTTCTTGATCCATGATTTTTCTTAGTTTTCAGCTGTGATGAAACTGGCAAAATCTTGGGTAGATGTTAATATGCATGATCTTTATACCTTTAGGTTATATTCTCTATTTGCAACATGCTTTAAATCTTTAAATTAGCTGGACATATTTTTAACAAGGAATATTTGATTGTTAAATTATTTATGTTGCTTAATTATTCATTACTTGCTACATTTGAATTGTGATGTTACTTACACTACATTAGAAATTCAAATTAATGTTCATTTAACATTTTTTTAGCTAGTAATTATTTAGAAAAATAACAGTAATTGTAACAGTCAAGTTTGTTGCATATATTTCTGGTACAGAAGGATAATGCCTTTTTCATTTTTATAATGACTTGAAAATTATGTAATTTTTCTTTGGCATATTTTTCTTGCTCCATATTTACCATAATATTTTTTTCCTTAGGACCATCTATTAATCTTAGTCTAAGTAGCTAACTCATGCCCAACTCTTGCGACACCATTGACTGTAGCCTGCCAGGCTCCTCTGTCCATTGGATTTTCCAAGCAAGAATATTGGAGTGGGTTGCCATTTCCTTCTCCAGGTTGCCATTTCCCAACCTGGGGAATCAAACCCAGGTCTCCTGCATTGAAGGCAAATTCTTTACCATTGAGCTACGAGGAAAGCCCAGGACCATCTATAGTTTTGATTAAATTGATGTGTGTCATTAAGATGCACATATACATGAATGCTCAGCGGCTCAGTCATGTCAGACTCTTTGTGACCCCATGGACTATAGTCCACTAGGCTCCTCTGTCCATGGAATTTTCCAGGTAAGAATACTGGAGCAGGTTGACATATAGGTTGCATAAATTATCTTTAATCCTAAAAGAGAGTCTTAAAATATCAAAACTTCCTGTTAACATGTTAAATTTTATTTGTAGTATTTCTCTTTCAAATTCAAGTCAGGGCACCTCCATAAAGCTGGGCTTAGATTACCAGGATCATTAACTCTCTTTATCCAAATTCACTATTTCAAAGAAACAGAATTACTCATTATCAAATGCTAACTCCATGCTGAATTATTCTGTTGTCTTTCCCCCAGTTTCCCTGTCAAAAAAAAGCAAAACAGCTTCATAACCATGTTCCTAGCAACTACCATGAAAGAACACTTCTCCGACTAGAAGCCCTCAGCTTCTAATTTAGTATATTTGCACCACTTGTTTAAGAGAAATCAATCTTTCAGATTTCCACTCTACAATAAGATAAGTTCTAGGCAGCTTACTAAAACAATGCTCTCTGTATTTATTAATAAAAACTATTTCATGTATATGCCCCTTGGCTTCCAATAACAGTGTAAATCTGTCAAGCACATGAAATTCTTTTCTTTGCATCATACTAAACACATCTCAGTTCCTTTTAAATCCACCACTGTCATGCTCAGGTATGACATAAAATGTCATTTCCTACAAACACAAACACGTGGTGGGAAAGGGGTTCTGTCATTAAATGCTGAGTTAAACAAAGTCAGGCAAGAGATGCTCAAAATTCTCCAAGTGAGGTTTCAACAGTACATGAACCAAGAACTTCCAGATGTTCAAGCTGGACTTAGAAAAGGCAGAGGAACCAGATGTCAAATTGCCTATATCCACTGGATCATCGAAAAAGCAAGAGAGTTCCAGAAAAATATCTACTTCTGCTTTATTGACTACACCAAAGCCTTTGACTGTGTGGATCACGACAAACTGGAAAATTCTTCAAGGGATGGGAATACCAGACCACTTTACCTGCCTCCTGAGAAATCTGTATGCAGGTCAAGAAGCAACAGTTCCAAAGAACTGGACACGAAACAACGG